GCTGAATCCTCTCTTAGGGTGAATTATATACAAAATTCTGCCCAGAGTGTTATATCAAAGTGCTCCTTAAACTCGTGCTAACTCTGTACCAAGTGCATCAGACAACAAATGGTAAAATTAAGCCACGTACAGCAGTTCTATTAACTCAAAAATACCAGACATCCTTGAACAGTCAGAAAAGTAAGCCTAAACAACTGCCGTGCAGCATACTTCCTACTACCCATCTGACAAAAGACTGAATGCCCTGAATCTCCAATAAATCAGTTGAAAGGCTGCAGGAGGGAGGGACACACATGGGAAGGGCAAAGGACTACTCAGACAAGGGCTCTATCCAACCTGCGAGAAGTGTAAGCTTCCTCACATGCTACGCTATTAAATCAAATGCTTTGGCAAATCACAGGAACCCAGAACAAAACAAGATGGAAAACACACACCCTTTACAAGCTGAGTTGGATGGCTCCTAAGACCAGCCAGAAGAATGTAATGAAGAGCACTTATTGAATGTTAATGTTGCTGACAATCCATCCAGGTTAAAGAAACACACAGTTACACGGGAAGAAATGTTCTGCAGGATAAATACGCATTTCACCAACAATTATTAAATGATTTTAAAAGCTGACATGATGGTTCATGAAAAATACATGGCTAGATGTTCTCAGGCTGGTTTTTATTTTTAATTTGCTGTACTTTGAGTTATGTTTGAGCCTACGTAGAATTCAAGCAGTACACTCAATTCTCTTCACCTACATACAAGCCTTCCCTTTAGTGAACTTCCCTCACCTGCTGCTCTGTATCACTGTGAACATCCTCCAACACACCACAATCACTTAAATGAGAAGGCAACAGCTCTAGGACCCCGTGCCTGACAAACAGACACTTAAAATATTTTTTACTCTTTTGTTCAAGATAATGAAAGAACACAAGGAATTCATAGGGTATGAAACCTGAAAACCTCAAGTGTAGCATAGGGGTTGGTTATCTGAAAGATGTGGTCACTCACAGGAAAAAAAACCAAGATAAAATAAGAGCAATCCTAAAATACAAAAGGGCATGATTCATTTTGTGGCTACGCAAGACAGAAGTGTCGTAACACTGTTTAAGTCATCTTGCAGTAGCATGACACCCGTGTAAGACGGGATGAATGAAACCCTGTGTTCTCCTTTTAAATGCATGCTCGAGCATCAAACAGCAGGAAGAGCAACAGCTGCAAACAGCTCCTGACGAGGTCCCTCCAAATAAAATTGTGAGGTTAGGCTTGGCTTGGGAGATGAAGTCACACAACTCCCATTGACTTTGGTAGGAAACTGGCTACAGAAAGGAACCCCAACACTCCTCTGACATGAAGATGCATTTTGCAGCCAGTGTGCGGTGAGGAGGAACACGTTGCTCGGAGCGGGGCAGGCTGCAGGCAGGACCAAGGTTGCTTCCCTTCCCTGCAGTCCAGGACTTTTAATGTGTTTCTTTAATAAATGTAGATAACTATATATTTATTTTAACATAACACTGGGGTATTTTTTGCTTAGTTGAGTTGCTGCCTTGTCCCCGAGGAGCTTTTATCATTGCATTAAAGATCTTATTTTTGCTCTAACTGACAGGCGCCGCAAACTATCTATAAACTCTGACAGCCAACTGCAGATATCTGCTCTCTGCAGATTTATCACACATCACTGATCCTCTCATGGAGCAAATTCACCTCATTCTTGAGTACAGTCACTGGATCAGAAGCAAGCCACACTGCAGATGACCTCTGAGGTACCTGAACCCTCACCCTGGCAGACTGCTAGGGAGGAGGAGGCAAGGCCAGAGTTCAAAATCAGCAAACTGGATCTGCAGATTTTCTCCATCTCCCAACATCTGTAATGGATGGTGGCTAGGACATATTTTCTGCCTATACAGGATACTCAGAATCAACTAAGCCACTTCTGTTGCTGCGTAGCACAAACCTAAAAATATGCCATAAAGAACAAAACACGAGAATTCATCACAGGCACTACAAGGAAAAGGAACTGTGATTCCATGATTCTATGGCTTAACATGGCAATTTAGTGCAAGATGCGTGGAAACAGGACACCTGGTGTGTTAGCCCTAATGTGCTTTCCTACATGAGCGTGGGAAAGCACTTAGCTGAGACTCCATTTGTCCTCCTGAAAGCCAGATGTCTTATTTACCTATTTGCCAGTGGGGTAATTGCCGTGGACTTAATGGCCTCTTTATCAGGCATGGGGTTTTGGAAGTGTTTCAGGCAAAAAGGCATGATCAGGCACAAGGCACAAGCAGGAGCACGGGGTGAGGAACAGAGATGGCATGTTAGCTAGGTGTTTTTCAAACCATTCACCAAATGAATCTATAACCTCCGGTAATGCAATCTGCAGGAAACGGTTCTGCCCAGCCACAAGCACGACTGAAGCGCTCCAGTCACAACAAAACTGAAAGCAAGTGATCATGACAGAAATCACGATATTCTCTCTCCCTATTATATTGCATCATCAATGTTAATTTAATTTCTCTCTGGAAACGGTGTAACTATCAATTATAGTTATCTACAATTTACGTACATTTCTATTTTTCCCTATATGCTTGCTTCAGAAGTTCGACAGTGTTTTGTGGGGCTTTTGCTCCTGATCAACCCAATATTGTCATCTATCTGCTCCTGACAAATCCCATTCAGGAGCACATCCCCCTAAGGGCCTGGAAACCCTCAGGAGGTGTAGATGGATGCCATTCACTTGAGCTGATCTGTTCCCTGGACTCCCTGATGGCATCCCTCGAACAGGTGAGCATTCAGCTGGTATAAATCAGCTGAACTCTCTCGGGACTCATTTACATCGACCAAGAATCCAGACCAAAATATAGAGCTAATTTCCCATGCATTAGACTGTCAGACTGTATCCCTTGCTGAAAGAACCGTTATCAACAAAAGAAGTGCAAGGAAAGCTTAAAAAATGATGCTGGAATTACAACACTGGCAATCTTTTTCCACAGCAGGTGAAGTTGGGGCAGATGCTCCTCACCGGCCCTTGTCCATTCCCTGGGGGCACTGACAGAGACGTGACCCAGGCTTTGCCCACCAAGAACAGTTTCTTGCAATTACTGTAATCAGAACGCACCAAGTGGTAAACCCAAGATTATTGAGAACCTGGATGGAAACTTCCCTTGGAAAAGTAGATCAACATTAAACATACACCCGTCTTTCTAAAGAGGATGTAAAAATACGAATGACAAAGTCAGTTTAAGGCCTTACCTAGTTCAGATTCAAACAGAACAAAAGAATAAATTTAAGAAAATGTAGTAATCCTAATAAAGAAACAAAAATTGCCATTTTAACTAAGGGAAAACCAAAGGGATGTCACCAGTTAATCTTGCAGTGCAATAAACTATTAAATTCAAAGATACTACAGGATTCAAGGAAGACACTAGTCCGGGTAACTGCATGACGAACTATCCCTGCACAGCGCAAATACCAAAAATTACAAACGAAGTCAATCTCTGAGCTCTGCCTATTATGCCTAGATACCAAGTGAACTAAAGAAGGGCTACATTTTGCCCCTCTCCTTACATCAGGGGATACCAGAAGTGACAGGGAGGTTAACAGCAGCAGTTAACAGTTCCCGTCCCATTTGCTGCATCTTTGCAAAAATGCATCTGATTCTGCCAGAACTGACCTGCTCAAAGTGAGCACGTTTGTTGTGCCCAGTGATGGAATTCCGCTTTATGTACAAACCTCTCTTATCCCACCCTGAGACGTGACTTGAGGCGGAACTGAGCCCGCAGAAGCTGGCACGGCTGGGCAGCCAGAAAGGAGAGCAGCTGAGGATGCTAACAGAAAGGAAAACGCACCGTGCGGTCCAAGGTACATTTGCAGTGCAAATGGAAACGACGCTGGGCAACCACAGGACCGTGACTACACGGGATTAAGGGGACTTTGAGCAATCTGGCTGCGCGGCTACAGCCCTGCAAACAGATCTGTGGATTAACCGCGCTAAGCAAACAGCCAGAGGAAAAAGAAAAGCAGAGTTCAGTGCCGTTCACTGAAATTTTACTTTGTCTCACATCATAAGCAGTTCTAATTTACTTTTTTTTTTCCCCTCTGGCAGATGCAAGAAGAAAAATATGCAAAGCTGCCCCCTGTCCCAGCTGTCAGGATTGCAAAACAAATGAGAGATTTGAATAAGTTTACTTAACTGTTATCACTTTTAAAGGCACCTTAAGGGAATCATTCATAAAAGAGAATAGATTGTAGTAGATAATAAATTACATTTTCCTCTATTTTCCTCCTTGGGAAAAACCTATTAAGACTTTATAATTAAAATGCCTGAACATAGTTCAACTAAATGTTTTTAATTTTAAAATGGTCTATTTTCAAAAATGTCTTTTTTCTTTTTTTTTTCTCCCCATAAAAACATTGTTTGCTTTCCTGAGAAACACCACTGGAAATTACTAACCGATTTTCTTCATCAAAACTGCTAATAAAACATTTCTTCACTCAGTCAGCAACTTGAAGCCATATGATTCTGGCACCTAATTCTGTATCTATCTGAAAAGCCTCAACAAACAAAAAAACCTACTTTCTCTAATCCCTTTTAATAGCAGTAATAGAAGATTATATGGGAAGATAAAAAACGTGCTCAGGCTTGTGTGTGATTGTCCCTTTCCCTCTGTACCCTGCACTGATTAGCCCAATCGGTCCACAGTGACCAAGAGAGAGCATCCTGTTCTTCTGACTGGAGTTTTCGTTGTGGGTTTTTTTAATTTTTATTTTTATTTCACATTTTTGGATCTTTAGTTTCCATCAAAGGCACCACAGTTTGATTCCCTACATCCATATGTATTCATAACGGAAACAGAGTAATAAACTTAAAGCAAACTCACCACTATACTGAATTTGCTATCAAATCTCACGTCTACAGGTTATAAGCGGATTCCTTGGAACAGTAAATTATTCATTTTACTAAGTTCTTACCATAAATCCAGTGAAAATAAAATTTAAAATGTTTACTTACTGATGTATATAGGTATCCTTCACTGTTCATTGCCAGATACAATTTTGTTTGAACCCCCTGAATCGCCACCACTCGTAAACCCACAGGTATGAGGTTAAACAAAGCTAGGAGAGAAAGGAGATGGAGAGCAAAATTAATCCTTTAGAGTATGCAGATTAGATAATTAAACCAGAACTGCAAGAACCAAATAAATACCCATTCATGCAAAGATTAATTTCTGTGGGTGCTATAGGACAATACTGCTACTATCACGTTCTTCTATAGCAACTTCCACCAACAGCTCAGGAACTATCTCCAGAGCATATAAACTACTCTCCCCCATTCTGAAGATGGTGAATTAGAGGTACTGAGAGCTAAAAGGACTTACCTTACCTGCAGAATCCAGGGTCTGTTGAGTTGACTATACTTAATTTTGTTTTGTATTAGTTTTTTTCCTGACAGTTAAGTGCAAAAAAAATAGCCAAAAACAAACAGAATTTTTCAAGAGGATCAAAACATATTTTTGGCTTTTTTCAAATTCAGATCAAATTCAGTAAACATTTCTGACCAAAAGGAAGGAACAAGATGAAATTCAGAAAAGTTAAAAACCTTCATTAACATCTCAAAATGTTTCCATTCAAAACTTACTGGTTGATCTTCTCTTTTTTGAGAGAAGAATGGCTTTACAAAAACAGAGTTAAATAACTTCAAAGTGAAATGATATGACAGCATATTCTTTAGATCAAGTCCTAAATCTGTGCTTTCAAAATTGAGCTGCTTCAACTGTTCTGCTTGCATTTATGCTTGTATACATGCTAATAGTGGCAGTATTTATAAGCAGAGAAACGTCTCTTCAAAGAATGAAGATTCTGGTTTCTAAAGTGGCAAATTAATTAAAAAAAAAAGAAAAGAAAAAAGAAATGCAAAGCTCTGCCATATCTTAGATTTATGGATATGTTAAAATTGAACATGAGTAATAATATGCTGAATAGAGTGTGTTCAATACGTAGGACTGAAAATAAAGGGAGGAACATTTTCAAGAACTGTTACCATAACCCAAAGCATCTCCTTCCGGTCTGTTGTATAAAGGCAGAGATCAGGCGAAGTAATGCCAAACTGGTTCTTATTTCCAGTGGTTTATTATTTAGCTGGAAAACTCTGGTCTGCTTCAGGCTGAAGTTTGGTATTTACGGGCACTGTGATACTTTTGTCTTTCCCTCTTTCACGCATGAGTGTATGTGCAGACATGAACACACACACATGCAGCCCCTCCTCACATTCGACTCAAGCACAAAACCAACAGAAATGGCTTTTTCCTCACTAAAACAAAATCCACTAGTTCTGCACAGTTTTTGGCAAACAAAACTTAGATTTTCAATACGGGAAATGGGTTTCTCAATTCGTTCTATTAAATGCTTGGATTTATTTGTGGAAGTAAGTATTCCCTTGGAGAGCCCTCTTCTGCAGCTCAACCCCAAGAAGCAGCATCTCACCTCTGTGTAGGCAGGAGAGGACAATTTAAAGCCCAGCATCCAGGCAGAATCTGGAGGTTTCTTCTGAAAGGTGCTTTCTTAATGGCATTTTATGCGTAGGGCAAGTGCTTGGGTATTTTCAGCACGAGGGTACAGGTATGGGCTTCACTGCAAATAGTGCTATGAACCTGCCAGCAGAGGACGGGGCAAAGCCTGGGACAGTGGAGAAGATGCAGCTCACAGCCACAAGCCCCAGAGAGAGGTTTCAGGAAGCAATTCCTGGCTGTGCTGCGCTGGGCAAAGCGAGCAGAGATCGGAGGCTGAGCGACCTCTGCCAGGGGAGGGCTGGGGCACCCAGCAAAGGGCACTCAGCTGCTTCCTTCAGCAGCTGAACGTGTTCTCCTGCCATAAACGTCCGTGCTTTATTTTGAGGCAAGACGAGGGCTGGGCAGGCTCAGAAGTTGGTTGAGACACGGGTGGGATTAGCAGCTGCTGCGGCACAGCCTGTCGGCAGTTGCGAAAAGGCTGTGGGGGAGTAACGCTGGCTCCGCTGCCTCTGCTGAGGGGGAGAGGGACAGGTTGTCGGTGGGTGCTCAGTCAATCTGTCCCACGCCAGCACAGCCAGACACACAGCCAGGCTGCCCCAGCTGCTGCCTCCAAGGACAGGGGACATGGGTGCTGCACCAGCAATAGGGACTGTCCCCTGGGCAGCAGCCGTTGCTCCCGCTGTCCTTGCACAGCAGCAAGTCCCAGTTCAGCTTCTGCAAGAGTGAGTGGCTTGTCCATGACCAGCAAATGCCAACGGGACCACCAGCAGGCTCCTTCTCTGTGAGTCCCCAATGCCAGGGACAACAGGTTTGAGACGTCATCGCATTCCTAGGGGCTGACCCTCATATGGGCAGACAGGACAGAAAGGGTGGCAAAAAAAGCCACAGGAAAACAAATTGTTTGCTACAATGATGAGCTTCTATTACCATAGAATAATGTAAGGTTATCTGCATCCTAGCCTTTCCCTATTATACTTGTGCCACTTAAAACAAGGATATAATATTCATCAAAGGGAAAAACTTGGCGATGCCTAAGGGAGAAATGGTCTTCACTGTGGCCCTTGTGCAATGCAAGCTGAGAGAGAATTAAAGCTGCGAAATAAGAGGCAGCAGGTCACAGCTGGATTTATAAATGCAGACAGTACTGTAAGGTCTGTGTTATCCTTGGCTTGGCCACCTGGACCTTCGGATGTTTTCTGCAGGATATTGTTTCCTCTATTTCCTTATTTTATTAGTCTCAAAATCTCTTTGTCTTGCCAAAATTGAGGAGTAAATTCTGCCTTGATTTAAAACCTTGCCTTATTTAACACATTTAATGAGGCAAAAATTTGTTTCTCAGCCAGGAAATCCTTTCCACAAGGCACTTCCTCAAATCACATGGACTCTTGGCTAAAATCAAGGTCTGGCAAGTGCTGTGGCTCCTCGGATCCCATGTTTCACATCCTGCCTATGCTGTGCTCCAAAACCTCACCTTTCTTTTAAACTCCCTGCAGCTGTGGCTGCGACCTTGGTTTTGTGAACCCTGCATGCAGCAGTGGGTCTGGAAGAGCTTGAAATAATTGCTCCCCTGTCAGGAGGCCAAAGGGGATCTTCGGGCAAACTTCCCACTCAGCTCCAGGTAGCAAACGATGGAGAAGGTGTTCTCCTGGCCCCAGGCTGCTGTCAGGAGCAAAATCCAGCAGCTGGCCATCAGGGGCTTTCCCCATCTCTACCATAAACAGGGAAGAATAATTCTGAAATTTAAACAAGGCTGACGAATGCTTTGCTTGGAAACCAGGTGGACTGTGCCTGTGGTTTGCTCTAACAAATGCAGATGCAGAGCCCTGGTGCTCTGCAACCACAGCTGCATTTGAGGATGACAACATCCTCTTATTGTTAAGGGGAGTTTTAATTATTTCACTGCAAAGCTAATGGTCGGAGAGCAAACATTCAGTGAAGGTGACAAAAGGGAACAGCAATGATATCCCGCAGGGGTGCAAAGGAGGAGGGAACGGACTGGAAAAGGAGTCCCTCCTGCACTTGGAGGGTGCTACAAGTCCTGTGGCTTCCCCACAGCCCACGAATATGGGCTAAAGGAGAGATGTCCCTGCAGATATCGGAAGAAACGATTGTAGAGGGCCTGATCAGCTTAATATTCATGTGAGTAAGGCTTTGGGGGAAGCCCCTTATGTGGACTCTGATCCACAGCATAAATTGGTCTTACTAGCTTCATTAAAAATATTACATTTAAAATAAATTCATGACTGCAGGATATTCAGGTCTGCACACTTACCTTACATAAAAGAGAAATATATACAAAAGCATGTGAGTTTTTTAATGATAAAATGCTCCTCTGTTTTGAACACTCAGATAATGCAACTATTTCTGGGATACTTCCATTGTATTTAAATATTCAGCATTTTGGAAGGTTAGTATCCAGAAACAAGGATTTTTTATGATTTGCTTTGTAATCTATCAGGTTATGGTAAATTTAAGGCGAGAGTGAAAACAATGATAACTTAGAAACAGATACATTTGTATTTTCATAAATTTTATCGTTTTTCAAACCTCAGAATTCCTATTAAAGGGATTCCAAGGTAAGTATTTGAATGAAATAATTAAAAAAAAAGCAAGCAAATTCAGATATTTGTTCTAGTACATTAAAAGTTTATAATGGTACCACTCTTTGATGTAAAAAGTAAGGTTGCCTATTTCTTCTCCTTTAAGATAATTAACAGAATTGCCCTGAAATCTTGAGCGACTCATACTGACTTTTGAAATCACTAATATTGGATCATTCCCTTAAAAGAAAAGCGATGTTCAAGGTCCATAAGGATCGTTCTTTGAGTAAATTTTGTGGCTGCCCCAAGGAGAACTCAGTAAGATGGTAGCAGCCACTCAGCTTTGCCTGATCTGGTCTTTGGTCTGCGGGTGAGGACAGGACCTGGAACCTACGGATCCCACGCTTCTGCTTTGCCCTAAGTCCAGCACCTTCCCTGGCTGCAGAGGAGACAGAGGGATGCAAAAAGGGTTAAAGAGGGTGCAGGAAAAGGGTGGGAGCAAGTGATAAGATGTGATCCTTCCTATGGCAATTAGTGTTTACTCTGCCATATTCAAGTGTCCCATAAAATGAAACTGTGTTTCACCTGAGGATGCTTTTCATATGAGAAGGACAGCACTTAAATCAGTGCTTTTTTAATAATCAAAAAGGAAGGTCTGCCTGTTGATTTTCTAGCGTGTCGTTTACGTGCCCTGAAATACTTTCTCAAACTCCTTGCGCCTCCTAACTCTTTTTTTCAGAACAGAAATGCAGTTTAAGCTACACGATACAACTATGTGAAATACTTAAATATTTTTTCAGGCACACTGTAAATCTGCTTTCTCTTAATTCTCTGATAACGGTAAAAAAATTCCACAAAACAAACCTGAAAACATCCAAAACTTTTTCACATGAAAGCTGAGGGAAATCTGGTTGAAAGCTCAAGGTATAATTAAGTTTAGAAGGGGTAAAACCCCAAAATGATAATAATAGCAAAACGTGAACTTCAAAATGATGATGAACTCTCACTATATGAAATAACACGGCTCTGTTTGAATGAGCCCCTGTTTCAGAGTGGAGATAGCGTTATTCTATTTCAGGCACCCTGTGTAGGCGAGCAAATTTTCCCTGTCGGAAAAAAAATATCTAATAAAATCCAAAGGACAGCAATGAACTTCTCTAGATTACCATGGAGATAACATTTGCTTTGTTTGTCATATGTGTCATCATTACCTCCTTTAGTTCATTATTTCTTTAAGTGATTTTTATTTGCATTTCTCTCAGTCCCAGTAAGTATGAAGGACTCCTGTGCTGTGAGCACAGTGTTAATGCTGCTTCCACTCACTCAGTCATCCCAGGACAACAAATTTGAACAGACCTATACAGGAAGAATGAGACACCACAATTCACAAGCACACACCATTTATTCTCATGTCACTTACTATAACTACTGTCCTCCTCTTTTGTTCCATCAATTGTTCCATCTGCTTGCAACTGCAAGTGGTATCCTTGCCTGCTGTAGAGCTTTGTTACTATACCTTTAAGCTGAGGCTCTGTAAAAAAACAATAGTGAGATTAATGTGGGAAATCCTGATGCACCGTTCCAAGTGAGCAGGGTGCTAAAAACAATTCTCCAGGTTTCTTCTCAAGGCTGGGACACAGAAAAAAAAACCTAATCCAAACCAGCTTTGCAAGACCTCATTTAGGTTGAGATCAAATTTATGTCTATGAAATCAATTGCCAAAATGATTAAATGCCACTTTCGATTGCAAAGTAGGTAGCGCAGTAAAATCTACTTCCAGTGAATACAAATTCTGACAGTGTGCTGCTTGGCCTCGGGAGCTCAGCCCTATCTCATTTAAGATTAGAAATGAGCTGGCAAAGAGCATATTCTGCTTTTTAAAAGGTGTGAGTTCTTAAATGGAGAGGAAAAACAGGACTACTACGATAGCACTAATAAGAGCCACAGTGACAGTTGAGAGCCTAAATATATAGCAGCAAACGTTTAGCACAAGAGCTGCTGCAGCTCTAATAAACAAACCAAACCCCCATCCGTCACTGCTCCAAAGAGTACAGAGCAGCCGAAGAGATAAACTACTCAATGAACATATGGAAAATGGAAGGGGGAACCCTGAAATCTAGCAATGTGTGGAACTGCAAAATAAATATTACCATAAGGGTTGAGGTAATTACCTCATCAGTTAGAGGAAGAAAGATCAAAACAACGCATAGTTTGGATAGATTTCTTTTTTTCATAGCCATCCTCAGATTCACAGTTAGAAAGCGAGACATCTCACACGGTTTCAGATCATTCTAGACCAAAAAGTATACAGCAACAGGATCTGCTGTCAAGTCTGACATTTAAGATACCGAGGTAATGCACCAGGAGTAATTGCAAAAAAGGTCTACTTCCACTGAATCCCAATGACATCTGCATTGTAGTCATTTCACACAATTATGCTTGTCAGGAGGTGATGCATCTCCCCAGCTCGCTCCACAACATCTTACTTAATTCAGAGATAAACAAACTGTGATAGGATGTGTCATTTCTAACAGCACTGTCTGGGTAAGAGTCCCTGTGTTTGTAATCAAAGGCATTAGGGAGCTCTGTACTTCATTTTAGTAGGAGCTGAAGACAAAAGCTCACAGTAGTTTGCGCTCAGTGTATTAGTTCCTATTAGCAACCTTTACTAAGGGTATTGCTGGATGCACGATTCTTATGTGCCAACTTCTCTGACCAGAAATTAACCCAACCCTCCCTTTGGCCTTTTAGCCATAACGCACCCCATGTGCAATTTGCCAGCAAGGCACCTCTTCTGGGACTGCTGAGAAAGGCAGACAGGTTAGGCAGCTAACGGCATCAATGTTTCAGCACAGCAAAGCGGCAGCAACATTACCAGAGGATTTTGCTCCTCCCATGTACAAAAAAAAAATCCTACTCAGAGCAGGGACTGAGTCCTCGTGCCTGATCTTTTGCACCTCTGACAAGAGAGCATCATATCTGCAGGGCAGCTGCATGTATGAGATTCCTAGAAAGGAACAGCACTGAAGCAAAACTCTGGAAGGGGCCAGCGAAAGCAAAAAGCCTCATCTGCAGTCAGCAAATAAGGCACAGCAGAGGCATTCTGCGAAGCAGGAAGACAAAACCAGATATCTAGACCACTAAGTTATTTAACGTACAACTGAAGGAGGTGTACGTGCGGGAACTTCCCTTACTAACATCTCCTCCACAAATAAATCACGTGTGCTTGTGTATGTGTAACAGAGACAGACTACCGAATTACAGGTGCACATGGATGCGCAAGTGAGGCAGATAGCAATGGAGTGTGTTACTCAGATAAACCAGATTAACAAGAAAGTAGAAAGGACTGGCCTGGGATACCCAAGTCTATGAGATCATACCAGCCAGGAGTGCTAATACCGACATGTCCACTTTACCAGCCCTGAGACACCAGTCCCCCTTTCCCCATGCCCGACGCACATCCCAGTCGCATTAAGTTAAACCAGCCAACCCCCCCAAAGACATAACCCTTGCCAACCTGGTCGCCTTCTTCGCCTTTTCTTGGAGCCAAAGAGTTTGACCCTGGAAAACACATTCAACTTGTTCTTGTCGCAGCTTCCCTTGCTCTTGCTGGGGCTGTTGACACACTTACAGGCATTGGACTTCTCCCGCTCCCTGGCTTGTCTCTTCTGGCGGATCAGGGAGCTGGCAATGGCTGCAGCCATGGC